AAGAACGATGTATGCACAGGATGAAGGCACTGCAAGCAGTATTTTTGCTAAATGCCATGGGTGGTTAAACTATAGACCTTCATCTGACCCCAGTCCTCGCTATTGCCAACACACAACCAGAACTGATAACAATGACAACTCAGTTAAATAAAGAAGGAAAAAGCTGCCGCTGTCAAACTTTACAAGCTGCTGAACATTATTAGATCTCTTTACCACTCTATTAAACTCAATACAGCATGGCCGAGAGCAATACTGTCCAGGCTCATCTGCTCACTGAGCTCTTACGGATACAATCCTTTTGCCCATGCAAACCAACACTGCCAACAAAACTAATAGAATAACAGATTTTTTTAAAAATCTAAGACAAATCTTTTTAGGTTTTAAGACTTCTAAAATACTGGGACAACCAAGTACTGTAAGCCCCTTTCTCGAGTGTTCAACTGTGGATAACACTGTAAACGTGATCAAGGACAGCAGCACTGCTGTCCAAGATTAGCTGAGCCCTTTGCATCAAGGTAAGGGAGTACCTTCTATAAAGGCAACCTAGGCAACTAATGCAGTGGCTGTCGAGCTGTAAAGCTACAAGCTGCAATCTCTGATGACATAAGGATGGGCTGTTGATCCACAAGAGGCCTATGTTTTCAACAGCAGTGATCCTTGAACTGCACAATAACGAGTGTGTTTAACACAGGCTAGTTTGGCTTATAACACAGATCAGCAGATTACAAGCAACATGCATGTGTCATTTAATGTAACTTTCCAAACAGCAACTTTAAGACATGCCACTCTTTAAGTGGTCTAACTACAGGTTCATAGGTCGCCCTAGCAAGTATTTTCTCAAGTGACTTCAAACTGGCACAGCCCTGGTTTTCTGACAGCTTTCGTGGATTCACTAGTCACCGAGGAGAAATGCGGACTTGCAACTATATACCATGAAATGCAGTCAGGCAGTGATCAACTCTAAAAAAAAAAAAATTACAAAAAGCTTCTGAATTCTGCATATAGGAGATCCGTTTCTACAGACAAATAACCTTTGCTCCACCAAAGAAAGATTTCCTAGTATCATCAACACAAGAATAATCGATGGTAGTTTATAAACTTCCTAATGGGTCTGTATTAGCTCCAGATGGAAAACGTGTTAAAGGAAGAACAAAGACTTCTTACTCGGATATAAACGTGATTAAGAAATGTTCCAGTGTAACACGGAAAAGGTTTCTTAGTTTCTTACTAGGTTTTTGTAGTTAATGTAGTGTTATTATATTGGAATATATACATATTGTACTAAAGTATAGTATGAATATTGCTATATTATAGCTTTCAAACCTATGACTATATTTTGTTTATTTCATATCTACGATTCTGTACTGACCTAAAATATATAAATCGGTTTAGTTGCATTTATCGAGATTGTTATACACTTTTTCCTGATTCATTTCAACAAAATGCTTAATGACACTATCAAAATTAAGAAATTGCAGAAAAAAACAAACCACCAGCTATACCCTTCGAAACAAAAGGCATCGCAGATCAGTGGGGTCCCGTACTAACCTGCACTAAGACTCGCTGGGCCCTCATCCCGACAGCTATCTGTCCGCTTCAAAAAAATGGCCGCACATTTACAGGTAAGCAAACAAAGAGCTTCATGGTAAAGACTGTACTACTGTGTAAGTGGAAAATCTTGAATGCTGGTGACCTCATTTTTCCAAAGGCTGAAAAATCACCAGCGATATTGTGAATTTATCAAATTTAACAATACTTTTATCAGTGCTTTTGTAGCTTGTACAATTCATGGATTGTACCCATTGCAAATAGCAGGCTGTGTATTTATTTGCATCATCTTTGACTATCTGCTGAGATCTCAATCTGCACAGTAGAAGAATAGTATTTTAATATCTGATGTTTAACCCTTTTCACTTTGAAACACGCATTTTTTTAAGATCACTTTATTGGCCATATACCATTTCTTGTATTAGGAATTGGCAACACACCTTAGCAATGATGTAATAACCAATTAGAAACGCAGCAGAGATGAAATATTGTGATGCCTAACATTAGTAGGAAAGCAACAATCACCAGGGACCTAAAAGAAAATGCATTTAAATGCACTGATATTCCAGTTACATCCTCTCAACTGCTTCAGTTTATATGATTAGACATACGATCCTTAATTAGAATTATTAGCTTCTCAGACACCCTTATCCAGGAACATGCACTGGCTCCGTGTAACAATGGACAGAGTACAAATCTTTCTTTCACAGCTTTGTAAGGATTGCACCCATGCCTTACTCTCATTAATGTCTGACACTCAGCACTGCACTGCATCACTGCTCACTTAATCTGCACACCCCATTTTTGCAATTTTTTGGTGAATGCACTCAAATTATGAAAGACTCTTTCCGGCCCCATCACTAACGGCAGTTTAGTACAGACATACATGAATACAATATATGCACAACGACAAAGGTGCCTTATTTAACTTAGCTTTTTTTTTAAGCTCTATGAGATAGGGGAACAATCACTGGCCTCTTAATAATCCCCTGGCAGTTTGAAGGAGCTTGAACTTTCTTGCAAGGAAGAGTGGAATAAATTTGCAGAGCCCAAGTGTGCAAAGTTGATCGTGACTTAATCACAAAGACCTAATGATGTATTAAATGCAAAAAGTGCTTCCACAAAGTGTTAGTTGGGGGGAGGGGTGTGTACACATATGCAACCAGGGTGTTGTAGGTTTTTTAATTTAAATTATTTTTCTTAATAATTATCTATTTATTTTTCTCTTTAATTTTATTGGTTGCAAGGTCACGGTTTACCTTGATTTCTGGCTTTACATCATAAAACCCTGCAGTTTCAATAAGGGTGTGCAGACTTTTTATATCCACTGTACTATGGCGCATCACCCAGGTGGGGCTGCACACTGGTGGTGGTGGACGGGGGTCCCCATTACCAGTACAGCACTTTGAGTGGAGTGTCCAGAAAAGTGCCATACAAGTGTAAGGAGATATTATTATTAAAGTTGCCTTCCAGGATTCAAACCTCATTCCCAGCCAACTGGTATGGACTTACACATTGCTGCACGGAGTTGACCGACAAGGGCGGGTCCTATCAGTTGTTTTGCATAGACATGGTATTTGCCTACCGGCAGCTCTTCTTATAATAGAAAAACAACAAACAAGGGCCAGGCGGAGAAGCAGATTTGATAGTCAAGCTGGAACATCGTGTCTGTGTGGGCGGGTTGAGCGGTGTGCCCCCAGGGAAACTTTGGTTTCACTCTGGCTAATGTTGTCCAATATTTCCGAAGCTCTGCAATTTCTATCAGGCGCGCGTTCTGTTGTGAAGTTTCCTGTGAGACATCAGGTGTTTCAGTGTCTTCCCCCTCTGCATCCTTGCACTGGTTTTCCCCTCAGGGCCTTTTCTTATCTACAGCTTTCTGAGGCAGCTCTGCGCTTGAGGGGAGTTCATTTCACACGCTACCAATGGGAGAGGGTTAGTCTATGTTTTAAAAACTTTCCAGTTGGTGGCGCTCACTTTGGTGACCTGCTCGTTGATGTTTGCAGATAACCAGAGCCCTGCATGACTTTACGAGAATCAGTAAAGTTTTTTTGCAAAGGTTATGTAACCTTTCCTGCACAAGAAAAGACTTCCTCCACTGTAAACCATAAAAAAGGTCTCAGTTTATCCCTGGTAATCCAGTCATGGGGATCAGCCTGCTTCATAATTCTGTGGGCAGCTGCTCTGGTCCTAGCTCAACACTACCGTTCTGAACCTCTTTGTGGAGGAGACTCAACGGTACAGACATGAAACAGTGATATGGTGTTCATTTTCAGCTTATAAATTGCGTCACCAGACTCAACCATTGTTTGAAGACTTTTGTTATGACTCACGATATCTGTGAACACTTTTGTATAGAACGGTCTAGTTATAAGAAAAAACTGCCTTTGGTCTTGCTCTGCTCTTTTAATGCTAGGATTTATTCTGGCAGCTCTCTGAAGCAATTTACTTTTAAAAGCAAATTATTTTAAGTCAAGGTATTCACAACCCTGCATTATCCTTTGTGGTATAAAGTATAAAAGTGTGTTAACCACCAGAGCAGCAGTTAAAAAAAACAGCTCAGTCATGACTCTCACAAGATTGCAATTCCATTGTAAAGTATCTGTCATGGGCACTTTTTAGTAATGAGTGAAAGAAAATAATAACAAACCCAGTTTATATATGCCAAACAGCTGCATTCATTAAAATGGGAGACCAATTTAATACATTTATTTTTGAATATTAGTGACATAAACATAAGCCATCGAATTTAAAATAGATTCCACCCATATCTACCTCCTGCTGAGGTATATTGGCATTTAAACTGCAGGAGAGAACAGAATGGCTAAATCCCCAGTATGAAAGGCAAAACCTTGGAATCCAGCAACTGGAATGTGAAAGGTCAATATTAAAAAAAAAATACTGTATAATGGAATAGGAGGACTTATCAATTCTATGGTTTTACTACTGGATAAGAGCAATCGGCTTTATCTTTAATTCACACTTTTCAATTATTGAATATTAAACTTTAACGGATGAACAGAATTGTCTTTTTCTAGTGCATCTGCAGATTGTTATTTGCAAGACTAAGTCCTGAACCTGTCTTGAGCCACAATTTAGAGAAGGACATATCACAGCTGAAGGCGATGAAGATAAGATGTAAACAAATAGTAATGTAGGTGTCGGGGATCAATGCTTTTTTTTTTACTGGGGTCCAAAATTTTTTTTGGGGGAAACATATATTTTCTTTAAATACAGTCAAACGTAATCGACGTACATTTTACAAATAGAGAGGGATGTATGAACCACTGTTAAAACTATAAGCAAGCAGTATTAATTCTCTGGTGGTTGTCAGCGATTAATCAGTTAAAAACTTGGATGAATGTGGGTCACACAGCACACTTTAATTTATATTGTATTAGCAGGTTGAAAACTGACTCCAGTGCAGTGCCGACACGGAGAAGATCTGATTTTACCTGTGTGGCTTTGTCTTTCATGCATGAAGGATAGTGCACATGGGGGTCACGAGGCCACTGTCCTGTGAGGTAAGGTCCTGTTATTGTGTCCAGAGAGGAAGTCCGCCTGATGGAGCTGGAGCTTCTGATCTGCTGCGATTTTGCTCTCTCAACTGCAAAACCGAAAAAGAGAAAAATCAGAAAGAGATATGCACAGCATTACACGACAGAACGTGCGACACTCACGTGCGTAAATCACCATTCTCATTTAGGTCATAGGCTGCACAAGAACATCACAAACGTGTGATGCAGGGAACAATCCTGCCAAAGCGTCCATGTTTAATTAACCACATGTTCATTATCAGAACAGGAACAGAGGGTTTTTTTTTTTTTTTATCATGTCACATGCTAAAAATAGCCACAGGAAACAACGTCCTTACTACTTCATATCAGCGACAGCCTCTTATTTATTTCCCAGGCCTAAGCAGGGCCAGATTAACCCTGTGCTGTTGCCTCACACAGAGCCTCCAAACAGACAGAGAACCTTTGGCCCTTTCAGGTAGGCACGCTGCAGTAACAGGGGTGGGTTTGAAAACGACTGCAATTGAATTGCTATTGTGCATTGTGAATTAGCACATTTATCCCGTGTAATAGGTTTCATTTCCCTTTCTTAACTAGCACAGAAGGAAACTTACGACACCCATGAGTATGAAAATAATTGCTGTGGAAAAAAGGCTAGAGTGCAGAAGAGCTTGCAAATAACAGCAGCTTCAGATGTGCCTGGTTCTTCACTGAGGCTCTGCCTGGACTGCAGTTTCTCTGGAACGTCTGTGCCTCTCTTGAGCTTAGCCAGTACTGCTCCTCAACTCCACAGATCCCTCACCGCACAAGCCAGAATCTGCTCTCCCTACCCTTCAGAGCCGAAACACAATACAACTACTTCATTACATGTACAAGGAGGTACACAAATAAGTTTTAACATGCGAGTGAAAGCCTACTCAACCTGACTCGATTTTTTTTGTATCCAAAAAAGCTTGCATGTCGGTTAAAACACACAACAATCTTATGCCCAGTCTGAAAACACAGCTGTGAAACACAGCAGACCCATCAAACCAATTTAGCCACGCCATTTTTTGAGCCAACCCTGTCAACCTTCATTTTCAGGTGCCAAGGTGAGTCTCTGATAACCTACAAACCAGCTAAAATAAACATTTCTTAAGCGTAACCATGGTATCACAGTTTTCTTCAGCTCTGCAGCTCTCTTACACAATGCACTTGTCACCCCAAAGGACTTGGGACACCTTTAATTATTTTATATTGCATTTTTAATTAAGAGGTACAAAGTGCTGTAAATGCATAACAGACAGTAAAACAGCCATATGTGTTAAAAAGGAGTGCCCTATTTGCCATATTCTTTACAGGATTTTGCTGTAACAAAGCTTAAGTTAAGAAATCAGGACCTCAATATTCACTGAACCAGAAATATTCATTATAAAATATCCATGGATTGTTACAGTAACACAGTATCATCACTAAAATAATACGCTTCTTACACATACGTGTTCTTCGTATAAGCTGCATATATAACCCAGCTCTCCTCTGTAATGCATTTGAGCTTTGACTCCGATTTTATTTTTTCAAAGCTACCCACGGAAAGTAATGTTTTATTTGTTCTAAAGTGAAGACGAAGTGAAAACCTGGCACTGCCTTGTTTAAAAGGGCCAATAGAACTGCCCCTTCAGATACAGTTGCCTGGCTGAGCTGAGAAAACAGGATGAGTTTCTACGAACAGTACAGTAAACACAGGAGGTGAGGTTGCAAAAAAAGACTGAAAGCAGTCACACTGTGTGCATTTGGTTCCCATCCCTTTACTTGTCAATAAAGCAAGTTCAAACAAGACGGAACTCGAGAGAGATTTTTTGTCAATACAGAAAGATATTCAAAGAAATGGCAGAAAAAACGTTAGCAGTACTACAGTGCCCTTTCAACTATGTATCTACTGTAACATGCTTACTGTAACACTGTAGAGTTACAAACAATAACATTCAGCAAAGTCAACTGAAAATGATCAGAAAATATCCCCGATTGTGGATCCCTCAATAATTTTGAGAAACACAAACATGCTCTTGCTTAGAAAACAATAAGAAACATGACTTGCTTTGGAATCCCATACATCTGTCCTGAGCACAGTTTCACAGTATACAGCATGTACAGTAAAACAAAGAATATCAGTGCTGAGCTGAACCCCCCCCATGAATCCCCAAGTGTAGCTGCCTGAATTACAATATATTATAATAACACTGAGTCTGCAGATGATGTCTGTGGCAGTTTTCAGCCCTCTTAATACTTGAGTCCATGTCTCTGTTTAATATTACTGGCAAACTGCTGGAAATAAATCCTAAAGCACAGATTAAATATGTGCCACTTTATGGCAACAGATCTGTTCAACTCCTGCTGAGGTAGCCATGTTAACGTGAACAGAGAGCAACACAAGAAAACAAAGCGCACAGTAATTAGCAAGCCTCTGGCCTCGTAAAGAGACTATGCCACAACAACACTAACAAAAGCTTTCTGTAAACTGTGCGTCTGCTCTAATCCATGGGCTGATCCTAAGCAGCATTAGCCTTGCAAAATTCTCTGAACATACTCTGCATCTGCGTTCACATTTCAATCTCATTTTGTTTTACACACCCAGCTTTTTATGCATGAAACTGCCCCTACTAACTTGGCACTCAAGTAAACGTGAATGGTAACATCCAATTAAATTTGAATGTGAAAGCCAAAAATGTTTCCATGCAAACAGAAAGTAATAAAACACGTTCAGCAGAAAGTATGTATAACATATCCTTCTCTTTACTCAGGGAGAACTGTCATTAGGTCTTAGTTGAAGTCAGCATTACACCTATTAATAATTTGATGCTCTGAAATCCAGTATATACACAGTATCTTAGTAGCTGTGGAAGCAGCCATTTAGTCATTACTGAAGAAAACCGTAAGATATTCAAGATCTCGGTGCGGTAACTCTGTGGCTAAGGATCTGCGCCTGTGGCTGGAAGGTTGCCGGTTTGTATCCCGCGGCTGGCAGAGGAATCCTCCTCTGTTGGGCCCCTGAGCAAGGCCCTTCACCCCAACTGCTCCAGAGGCAGTTGGCTGACCCTGTGCTCCGACCCCAAGCTTCTCCCCCTGTCTGTGTCTCTCATGGAGAGCAAGTTGGGGTATGCGAAGAGACAAATTCCTAATACAAGAAACTGTATATGGCCAATAAAGTGATCTTATCTTATTTTCACACTTCACCCAATGGTAAAATGTTGCAATTCTATCAAACAGGTGGAATCTGTAAACGGACAGTTTTTCCACAGTTTTAAAAGATGTCTGGGACAGATCTGGACCGGACGCCCTGTAAAATAATCTCGTCCGCCGTATCTCCGACGACATGCTCTCTGACAAATACTGCGAATGCCCCAAACCACAGAGCTTTTTTGAAGACCTGGCTGGCACCGAGCCTGGGAAATGACAATGCCACTAAAAACAGCAGAGCAAACCGCAATGGAAGCAGCACTCGAGGTCTTCCTACTCAAGGACGAAAATTAAGCAAAAATAATTATGGGTGCAGCGCTAACAAAAAGGGAATAGAATACTACTGTGCACCAGAATGACACGCTAAACCAGTCTATCAGAGCCATACGGTATAGTGCAGTAAGATGACTAAGGTTACAGTTCTTCAGTGCATGAGCGTATTCCATATTCCATATAGTAAAGTTTTAGACAAATCTAACATGAGGTATTTCAGAATAATGGGAAAAGACTATAGGACAGGCACTGTGAAACAAACCCAGTGACTTCCTTTCTAAGCTGCAGTAATGAGGGAGCTGTGACCACAGACAAGAACTGGATATTTCATTAGCATCTGAGAAGAGACATTTCATAAAAGCCCCCATAATACAGAAAAAAAAACATCAAAAATCCAGATACATTTCCTTCTGGCTTGGCTGCTTTGCTGCATTCCTTCTTCGGGCCAAGTCAGCCCGCTGTACCATCAGGGTGGAGCTCACTACAGTCTGTAACCCCCATGCTAATTAATAATTCAATGCCACAGCTTCTCCTTTAAGGCCTGTGCACGCTTCCCCAAGACAACTGTAAACAAATAGTCCAAAACCATCTTGGTGCCTCCCACCCTCTTCCGACTGCAGAACCAGAACATGAGGGTGATTAAAAGACGTGTAAGAGCCAGATCCTTAGTACTGCACTGTGCTACACACCATGTGTGAGTGCTCACAAACAAATGTACCCAGTTTCAACAACACACTATTTTTTTGGAAGTGAATTTACCCAGCACTTAAATATTTGAACGTCATTCAATTTCTTTGCATCGTCTTTGTTTTGAACTTCTCTATCTGTGCTAAAGATCACACAAGTGCCGTTCGCAAGCACTTAATAAAAAAGCCCTGTGCCTGCTTCTGTCTATATTCTCCGAGAGCTGCAGACCCTTCAGGACCCGCTCGGACAGTACTGCACTGGTTCACTGCAAATCCGAAACCTTGATCTAAACTGCCTTCTGCCGGGAGACAAATGCAGAGGCACTCCCTCAAGGTGGAAGAGATTCGTTCATGTGACATCTGGAGGTGGCCATCTCAAAGGCTTTAAATCAAGTTCTGTGCCGTGTTTACGTAGTATTTCGTTTCAAATTTACACTAGACCGGCCCAAAGTGCAACACAAGCTAAATCACCAGCCAGTGGTGTTGAACCATATCGTTTTTTTAGGCTTTTGGCTGAGAATGCTGGGCTATATTAAAACAATACGGTTTGGCGGTTTCTTTGCCTTGTTATGGCAAAAACAGAATTGAAGGCATATGAACCTTAACACTGTGAAGATTGTTTCTCATTAACTATGGTTGAGATAGAATATTTATAACAAAACAGAAGGAAACCAAATGTGCAACAGATTTCGGGCACCTCGTAAGTGCAGCATTTGGTGTTTGGTACCACAGCTCTCTTTTTGTTTTTCAAATTTGCCTGTATCAGCACAGATGGAAACAGTTGGTCTGCATCCACAAAGCCCTGATGCCAAATAACGGAGTCGAAAGCTCACTGGTACAGCAGACGATTGTAACAGGTTGCCAAAAACTTTCAACAAGCCAAGAGTGAAATCCAAATTACTCTTTTCATTTCTGTA